GATTTTGAAAAAGGGTGGGAAATACTCAGGAGTTACCCAGTGCAGTCAGTCCCTTTGGCTGAGTGCACGCGCATGACGAGTTCTTTTTTATTTGCAGCGTACAGTTTTTTTGCAGCGTTGGTTTTTTTGTCTACAGCGTTTCTGTTATTTGCAGAGTAGGTGTTTTATTTGCGGCGTACTTTTTTATTTGCACCTTTCGCTTTTTGTTTTCAGGGTCTCTTTTTTGTTTGCAGCGTCTCTTTTGTTTGCAGCGTCTCTTTTTTGTTTGTAGCCTTTCTTTTTTGTTTGCAGTGTTTCTTTTTTGTTTGCAGCGTTTCTTTTTTGTTTGCAGCGTTTCTTTTTTGTTTACAGCATGTCCCTTGTGAGCCATCGTAATAACTACACCCTATTTATTTTTTCTGAAGATTCTTCCAGTGTATTTCAATCATCTATTATGTTTAACCGCCCACCTATTTTGAGAATTATTAATTAATGAGAAAATAAAAGGTGCTTTCCCTTTCTTCGTAAAAAGGCATATCGTTCGTTCTATATTTAACCCTACTTCACTATTTAAAAATAACTTTCATCTTGCCTTGTAAAATCAATCCCTCCCCATTCCCCTCGTTAATTGAGTTCGCGTGACCGTCGTAGATCTTTGGTCACGCAATCCAGAGAAATTAGGATCGACCGAACGCAGTCCTCCAGTGCATCGTCTTCTGTGTCAAACTTCTTGCAAAATTGCTGCGTCTTCTGAGATTCTCCTTTCAAAATGCGCTAAGTTCAGAGACGAAGGTAAATTCATCGACGTTCGAGTAAAGACCATTAAAAGTCAGCGACGACGTTTTTACAGCTCACCGTATCGTGCTTGGTGCGAGTAGCGATTATTTCTACGCCATGTTTACTACTGGAATGAAGGAGTCGAATAGGTTCCTGTGGCCATTATGCCTCAAGTTCAGATGCAGTACTTTGATTTCCAAACTAAAGAATGGAAACCTCTACCATCCATGGCTCAGTTGAATGAGGTAACCACGTGCTTCTGCTCAGAGAATGCTGGTAATCACCTGTACTATGTAGCGGCAAAAAACGAGGAATATTTTGTTAGGTATCGTTATGATACAGTTAGCAATAACTAGGGACATTACCACCTATTTTGGGTTGTGAGCATAAGATCGATTCGTTATGTTCATGATTATATCTACGCAATCAGAGAATCACAGCCATCTCATAGGTTTAGCTTAAAAACAAGTCAGTGGCAGGGCATTAGTCCATTTTATATCATAGGAACTTCTCTGAACACATTTTGTAGTAAAGCGTCCGTAGTTTTCAACTCGTGTGTGTTTGTGCTTCATGGTGTTGATAGAGTGCCGAGATATTACAGAGGTATCATTTCAAGCTATGAGGAGAAACCTTCCGTGATTCATTGTGTTAATCCAGAACTAAATGAATAAAAACCTAGGGCATCAACTAATGGTCCTCATTTGCTGGGATCTAGCCTCTTTGTAGTAAACGAAAGACTGCGCAAAAGTTTTAATCCTTCCATTTCTGTCGCCCCAGTTGAAATTTATGGTGAACAGAACAACAAGTGTCTTTTGTTCAACAAAGCCGTATTCCTAAAAACAATCTCAGAGTGGTTGACATAATTTCAAAATATCAGCAAAGTTGAAATGGTAAATTGGCCACCGTTACTATTATTAAAGCTGACGTTTCGAGCGTTAGCCCTTCGTCATAGCGAATAGGGGAATTATAGGTTGTGTGTGCTTTTAAAGGCAGAAAAAGGAGCTACGTGATTGGTAGGAACATGGCAACGAGAAAAACACGAAAAATTAGTGGAAAGTTTCGCCGATATAAATCTTTTTTCAATAAGTGCAAGTTATGCAATAGATTACATTGGCGGAGGTGCACGTTGAAATAGAAGGGAGGGCGTATTTCATCATCAATGATTTCTCAATTGATGGTGGAATCAGAATTCCACCAGGAGAAAAGTATCCTGTGCCTTTAGAGACTTAAGATGAATGGGAGAATCTTCAGTAGAAAGGTTGATAGTAACGCAGTTTTATGCTACCTTCCAGTGTGGAGCGCGAGTATAAAAGCAGAGTAATGCTTGTAGTTTAGGTTTTCGTGAAGGTTAGTAGCACTCGTTCCGTATTAAAAGACGTAAGTCAAGAGAAACGAGAGTTTAATGCCAGAATAACGAGAGTTGTTTACATGTTTAACTTGTTTACTTACTTGTAAACCGGGATTATCAACAGATATATTTTTAAATCGCTTTCTTGGTTTTTATGTATCGATCATTGTTGCAACAAGGAAGCTTTGCCATTTGTTATTATTATA